TCAACATCATCCAAACATACTCTCTCCTCACCTGAACACTTCAACAAAGGCACACACGGCACAGAATCATACTCATGCGACACTAAAAGGTCGCACAATGTATATACAATATTGGCCTCCATGTCATCTGCCTCTCTTGCTAGAGGGATCTCACTTCTCACGTGTCCCACCTCATCATGGGAGACAGTCCCAGGTAGAGTCACACAAGATGACTCTACTAGCATGGCCCGATCAACCTCAGCACTCCACGATGTCAGGTGCGGCAAGTCCTCGACGACTTCGTCTTCCGGAGTCTGACAGGGAACCTCGCCGTCCGGACGACGACCACGTCCCAAGGGCAGCTGGTGTTGAATACATTGTGCCGTGATGTGATCCAAAGCGCCGCAGAGGCGGCAAGTTCGTCTCTGTCCAGGATACGTAACGTACACCTGGGAACGAAAATCCTCTAGGTGTACGTACGAAGGAATTGGCTGGCGTAGGGACATTTTCAAAGTGAAGGACCCCTCTTGAAGACCAGCATAGAGGCCGTCAGACCACCGACCCATAGTAACCTGGTGGATCTTCCCATAACGTTCAAAAGCGTCACGTATGTTGACTTCATTGGCCTCAAAATGCATGTTTTGCATACGTACCCACGTATAGTATCATGAAACGTCGTGCAACTGAACTGACTGCTGGGGTGACTTGCTTGCTTACATCCTGGTACTGGTTGACAATCTGCTCATAGGTCTGAGTATCACAAAACTTGACAAAAATCCGGGAAAGTCCATTCAAGGCGACGCCACACAGGGATTCACGCTGGATGCCATATGTATCACGAATGATCGCTGGCACTAACACATTAATCGATGCGCTGGTGATTGTGCCCCGTTCTCGCAAAACACCTCTCCAAACTCTTGGGCACTATCAGTCCAGCACATCTCAAACACTCGGGTGATCTTCTCAATCGCATTCGCAACATCAACATCAGGAACCAGAAACTTTCCAGCCTTGACGTAACTTCCCTATTCACCAAAGTACCTACTACACAAGCCATCGATCTCCTGCGCAGAAAAATTGACGATTCACTTGATCTTCCTATTCCAGCCAGCGATTTCATCGACCTCGTTGAACTATGTGTCGGCTTTACGTGTTTCTCTTTCGAAAATCACCTCTTTCAACAGACATTTGGTCTACCCATGGGCTCGCCACTCAGTGCCGTCCTGGCGAACTTGAACATGGAACATCTAGAAGCCGAGCGTTTCTCCACCATTATTCCTTCGACTGTCACCTGGCTCCGTTATGTTGACGACATTCTCCTCATAACTCCCAGGCGTTTCAACGTTCAAGCTCTCCAAGACAAGCTCAACCAGGTCGAGCCCTCAATCCAGTTCACACTTGAAGAAGAAGCCGACAACACTCTTCCTTTCCTTGATGTTCTTCTCTGCAAAACTGACCATGAACTTCGTTTTAAAGTCTATCGAAAACCAACCAACCAAATCGATCTTCTCCACTTCTACTCTCACCACGACACCAAAACTAAACGTGGTGTAATTATAGGCTTCTTCCTGCGTGCACTCAGAATCTGCAGCAATGAGTTCCTTGAGGAAGAATGCACTATAATTGAACAAGTATTTTCTAAACTCCACTATCCTCGTCACTTCATCAGAGACTGCAGACGGCGGGCATTAAACATCTTCAACACACCCAGAGAAGACACTGCCGAGAAGAGATATACATGTATAGTCCTCCCCACCAACTCCATTGCCAAACATGTTTCCAACATCTTTTCCAATACATCATTCCAAGTATCGACCTCCACAACCACGACCATCAAGGACATCACCAGTAGTAGACAGGACAAGCTTCCATCCTCTGCAGGGGTATACATAATCCCTTGTAATGACTGCAACAAATTATACGTTAGCGAAACATCAAGAGACCTCCAAACACGTATTTCAGAACACCAATACGCAAGCAGGGCTGATGATACAAGGAATGCCTGTGTACAACATCGCAATTCACACAACCATTTAATTAACTACAGAAACTCAAGACTTATCGCCACAGAAGACAACACTCAATACCGAAGAATCCTGGAATCATCGCTTATCTCTATAACCAACAATTTCAACCAGAACAACGGCTTCTAAAACATAGCTGAACCACTCGCCAAGAAACTTCTTCACAGCTATCCCACATAAGAACATAGAACACTGCAGAAGGTCTACTCACAACTTGTCCAATACCCCTGCCAAGCTACCCAAGACTCTATAACCCCACCCGGTAGATCATCAGATGCAGCATTCTCCACCTGACCTCAACATTCTGAAGCTGACTATAAATACTCACGTACCTTCCACCCCAGGTAGATCTGTGTGTGACTTGAAAAAGCCCACTGTGTGGGCGAAACGTTGTTAATAAAGGATCACATTAAACTTCATATGTGTTTATGTTTCCATCGTGTCGGTATTTTATACCATTTATTTTCACCGAGTACAGTGTTAATCTCAACAATCCTATCACTGATACTAGAAATACCAAGCTCCTTCCTCATATTAAGAACCTTTGTATATTTGGGACTACCAAGAATAATTCTGAGAGCTTCATTTTGCATTAACTCCAAGAGTCGCAGAGATGTTTCTCTAGCTAATGTCAACATGGGAGCAGCATAATCAATTAAGGACCTAACATAGGCTGATAACAGAGGCATTAAAAAGAAAAAATCTGGAATTGCTTAGTTATTATTTCCTGAGCATTCTAGAACGTTCTGGGACATCGGTTGGCTCAGCGCTTCTTTTTGATTATAATAATAATCTGGGACATCGGTTGTTACCTGTTGACAAAATGATGGCATTTATCCCTTCTATTTTTTAGCTAGAAGGTTGTACACAATAGCTACATTCTGTATGTGGATGAGTCACTATTGTAATGCAACTTGTTACGTCATATCACCTGTTCCCAGCAGTTAGAAGCTTAGGGCTGGCTATTAATTATCTTCTAGTTATTCTATCACATGCTATCTGCAGTGCAAACTGTGGGGTCTATCCCCACACAACCTCATATGGGGTGAGATGTTGGGGGACCGGTGGGTGGTCGGCATTCTGCTAAGCCTCTCAGTCAGATATTGGCTGGTGCCACAGCACTATAATACCCTGAAAAACTTTCCCTCATTTCTCCCCTTCCTGCCCTTTCAACATTCCACAGCTCCTGATGACGTACTGAGAAGTGTGAAAGTACTTGAGCTTAAGATTTCAATCCCCGGTGGCTTGTCTTGCATTGTTAAGATCGCCTGTCTGCAGTTCTTTTGCATATATGTGTGTGTGTGTGTGTGTGTGTGTGTGGTGTGTGTGTGTGTGTGTGTGTGTGTGTGTGTGTGTGTGTGTGTGTGTGTATGTGTATGTACTCACCTAGTTGAGGTTGCGGGGGTCGAGTCCGAGCTCCTGGCCCCGCCTCTTCACTGATCGCTACTAGGTCACTCTCCCTGAACCGTGAGCTTTATCATACCTCTGCTTAAAGCTATGTATGGATCCTGCCTCCACTACATCGCTTCCCAAACTATTCCACTTACTGACTACTCTGTGGCTGAAGAAATACTTCCTAACATCCCTGTGATTCATATGTGTGTGTGTGTGTGTGTGTGTGTGTGTGTGTGTGTGTGTGTTGTGTGTGTGTGTGTGCATGTGTGTGTGTCGTGCCGAATAGGTAAGCCTGGTCAATTACCAAGAACTCATTTAAAATTAAGTTCATTCTAAAATTTTCTCTAATACGTCTAAGGATATATATTTTTTAATTATGTTAATGTAAAAATTACTAATTTTATACGAAAAGAACCTTACAAAACTTACCTAACTATTATAACAAGCGCAATTTAATTTACCCTTATCCAGCTAAATATATTTTTGATAAGTTTACAATAATATAATAATAAAAAAAAAATTTCTTATGGTTCAGAATGATTTTTGTGAAATTACTGCGTACATAAATTATCTCTTGCCATATTCGGCAAGAAGAGAGATGCTATTTAAGCCAAAATCGCAAGTTTTATCTATTCGGCACGACACACACACACACACATATATATATATATATATATATATTATATATATATATATATTTTATATATATATATATATATATGTCGTGCCGAATATGTAAAACTGATCAATTAGCAAGAACTCATTTAAAATTAAGTCCTTTCTGAAATTTTCTCTTATACGTTTAAAGATATATTTTTTTCATTAATGTTAATGTAAAAAATTTTAATTTTGCACCAAAAGAATCTTAGAAAACTTACCTAAAACCTTATTATAACAAGAGCAATTTATTTCAGCCTAACCCAACTAAATATATTTTAAATACGTTTACAATAATTTAGTACTAAATAAACACAATCAAATATATTTTTTTCGTCAGGTTCAGAATGATTTTGGTGAAATTATTGCATACACAAATTTTCACTTGTCCTGTATGGCAAGATGAACGTTGCTATATAAACCAAGATCGCAAGTTCTGCCTATTCGGCAAGATATATATATATATTATATTTATATATATTATATATATATATATATATATATATATATATATATATATATATAACTAAAAATAAATTAAATTAATAAATTGGATATTGTATTTACGGTTTAATTACATTTAACTATGTGGTTTTAATAATAATAACGTTTTATAGATAGCAAATAAAGATTATTATTAGCCAGTCACTTTTTTTTTATCGATACATACACTATGTTGCCAATAAAAACTACAAAATATAATAAAAAAAAAATTTAAATTTTCAGCGATAAATGGGGATGGTAGCGCCAGGTAGACGCGATACGGAACTGTGTTAACGGCGGTGTATATAATGATGTTCATTTAAAAAAAATCATGATTATAATTTTATTTTTCTGTTGTTTCATAATAACTTGAAACTAGTATTCCAAATTACTACTTTCTATTATAATGTAAGTCATATTATTCTTTAATAACCGTAATCTTATTACTTTTTCATGGCGCAGGATCCTCTTACGGTCCTAATTTAAACAGCCTTCTTAGGAAAGATCAGCCTGCAGACCTGAGCCATTGTTTCGTAGCTGTCAACCCAGCCTTCTTTGCCCCGGGCTTCGAAGAGCGCCTGGGTGACTTGATGAGTCACTGTCGCAACATGGAACCGGTAAGCAGTGAAGGAAAGGCACAGGCTACAGAGAACGGTTTTATTGGGACAACGTTTTGCACTGTATACAGCTTTAGTAAATTAGTCAATGGCTCTAAATTGACAAGTTGAGAAAATAGGCACAATGAAGAAACCTGTTCCATAGGCGATATGTCTCAGTAAAGTTCCTCTCTGCATTTGTATTTTTTCGAGTCTCCAACACCCACCTCCTGATAAAGCAGGTGCGAGGGCATGTGTCCCCAACACCCACCTCCTAATAAGGCAGGTGCAAGGGCATGTGTCCCCAGCACCCACCTCCTGACAAGGCAGGTGCAGGGGCATGTGTCCCCAACACCCATCTCCTGACAAGGCAGGTGCAAGGGCATGTGTTCTCAGCACCCATCTCCTAATAAGGCAGTTGCAGGGGCATGTGTTCCCAGCATCCATCTCCTGACAAGGCAGGTGCAGGGGCATGTGTCCCCAACACCCACCTCCTGGCAAGGCAGGTGCAAGGGCATGTGTCCCCAGCACCCACCTCCTGACAAGGCAGGTGCAGGGGCATGTGTCCCCAACACCCACCTCCTGGCAAGGCAGGTGCAAGGGCATGTGTCCTCAGCACCCATCTCCTAATAAGGCAGTTGCAGGGGCATGTGTTCCCAGCATCCATCTCCTGACAAGGCAGGTGCAGGGGCATGTGTCCCCAACACCCACCTCCTGGCAAGGCAGGTGCAAGGGCATGTGTCCCCAGCACCCACCTCCTGACAAGGCAGGTGCAGGGGCATGTGTCCCCAACACCCACCTCCTGGCAAGGCAGGTGCAAGGGCATGTGTCCTCAGCACCCATCTCCTAATAAGGCAGTTGCAGGGGCATGTGTTCCCAGCATCCATCTCCTGACAAGGAAGGTGCAGGGGCATGTATCCCCAACACCCACCTCCTGGCAAGGAGTATGTGGAGGAGAAAACTTCAAAAATTGCGGGAAGAACTAAAGTAAATGCATTTTTTCACCAACCTTTCTTACAGGCAACGAAGTATGCCTGGGCAACGTAGGAGTATTACGCTAGTTATGGATAAATTAATATGCATTTTTTGTGTAATTCTGTTCTCATTGTATGTTCAGTGAGATAATTAGCAGCTGGTCGTGGTTTAATTATCAAAAAGAAAAGCTTTTCCTAAGTTGGCTTACCGGTCCCTTCGTAAATAAAAAAAAAAACAATATGTGATGAAAGTTGGTAGATCTAATGCACCATGTTCATTGTGTTGTAGATCGACACAAACAAACCAGTGCTGGTGGCCGGTGATCCAGAGCGAGCCAGAACCGACCAGGTGAAGAAAGACGGTGGTATCACATATCACATCAATCAAGTCAAAGAAGCTGTAAGTACCTCGGAGATATGGAATGAAATATGCTTGTGCAGATTAAGTAAAAGTTTTGCTCTGAATGTCTTCAGGGGCGAAAAATATCCTTCATACACATAGTACCTCTTTGCACAACTTTTCGGTATTGTCATACCAGCTCTACTTATACCAAGTTAGCTTCAACAAATTTGTCTCTTTAATGTAAACTTTATTACTATTTTTTAACCACGTCGACCATTTTCTACAAAAAAGAAAAATATTCACCATCATTCATTTAGTTATTCATGTCATTCATTGGGTGTTACTTGCAAGGAAATATCTAAACCAGTGGGTCCTTTCTTGTTTCATGAAATACAGAAATGATAGTTTCCTGATTCATAAAATATGCTATTGGGAATGATTTTCAAGTTTCATAATTACTTTGATCTTTATATAGCTGCACACATTATAAAAAAAGAGAAATATATGCTTTACCTGTAGTTTACTTGTACCAGACCTGGGCTGAAAATATAAAGATTCAGATTAGTTGTGGACTATATATATGTAGGTGGGTCTGTGAACGCTGGTGTAGCTGACCTAAAAAATGCCTTGGATAGTTTCTTTTGTAGGTGCCAATTTACCAATTTTATTAGAAAAAAATGCAGGTATAAATCTCACGCAGTGTAACAGTAAAAATAAATTAAAAACTCTGCGGAAAATACACATCTTGTGTTATAAGCGAGGATCTGTTGGATGTGTGTGACTGATCTGTGGGATCTGGTTCGAGTTGCAAGTCCTGTTCCTCTCGAAGGTATTGTTCTGTAGCTTCTGTGTCTCATGGCGGTGTTGCTCTGCAGCTCTGAAGCCTTTTGAGAGGTATTACAACCCAGGAATCCAAATGGCCTGTTATCCTGGGTATAAAGGGAGCAAAATAAACACGGCAGAAAAAGTTTAGACTTATGTTATCCTTCACCAATTTAGAACAGCAATATGTACACTATGTACAGTGATAAGTATTGGTGCACTCCACGGTAAGCAAGGCAGGAATAGAAGCCACAAGAGAGCAGACCGTGCTTCAACCAGCTCTAGAATGGGAATGACAAGGGCAGACAGGAGAGTGGTACCCACATAACCTCTGCGAGTGCCAAAACCATCTTATTGGCTAGAACCTGGTCACTAGTTGAACGACGGGGCCCCCCATCAACTCTCAGCAACCTGGTTCGCTGGTTGGGGGAGATAGCCTGTAAATGAGGGTGTGTACATGCGCCGAATAAAGGTTAAGTACTCTTTGCATGCCACACCCCCACCCCGAGAAGGCTCAGGATTAGGCTGCCACCTCCCAGTGGTAACCGTGCCGCCACGGCACAAAATAATGGGACCGCCTTTCCTCTCCACCATCCAACTCTTAGATAGAGCTCAGCTTTTCTCGTGACAAAAATCCAAACCCTAAACTCAGAGTGAGACAGCAGTCAGTCAGGCTAGCATAGGTCCAAGATACAGGCGGACAGTAGCCCGCATCCCCTCACTAAAAAAAAAAAAAACCCACACTAGGGGATAAAAAAAAAAAGAGCGTGGAAAGGGTTACCACAAGTAACCTAACATCCTAACCTAAGTAAATAATGTAATTAGACTCTAGATAAAGAGTCTGCCAACATATTTTCTTTGCCGGCAATATATTCAATTCTGATGGAATAGGGTTGCAGTCGTATAGTCCAACGCATGAGCCTTGTGTTGTGGTTCTTCATGGCTTGGAGATATACTAGAGGATTGTGATCACTGTAGACGGTAACCACCTGCGATGTCTGGCCCACATAAACATCGAAATGCTCCAAAGACAGTACCAGCACGAGGGCTTCTTTTTCAATGGTAGAGTAAGCCCTCTGATGCGGCTGGAACTTAGCAGAATAATAAGCTACAGGCTGCAACTCCTCATTCTCGTTTTGTAATAGTACTGCCCCAACCCCAGACTCAAGCATCAACCTGTAATGAAAAAGGTTTGGAGAAGTCTGGAGACAAAAGAATGGGTGCAGTACACAATAATCTTTTTGCTTTATCAAAAGCATTGTTACAATCTGGGGTCCAATTAAAGGGAACTTTGTGACTGGTAAGGGAGGTAAGAGGGGCTACAATATCTGAGAAATTCTTACAGAATCTTCTGTAAAATCCTATCTTGCCTAGGAAACGTTGAAGAGATTTCCTATCATGGGGAACTGGATAATCTTTAATAGCAAGAACTTTAGCAAGTTTAGGTGCAACTTTACCACTACCTACTTCATGGCCTAGAAAAGTGATAGTGGCCTGGCCAAAGGAAGATTTAGATAAATTAACTGTTAAGTGGGAACTCTGAAAGGTCTCAAAAAGAGCCTTAAGTCTAAGTAGGCGTTGATACCAAGTCTCAGACATCACAATATCATCTAGGTACGCTGCCGTGCCTTCAAGTCCTTTAATAGCCTGATGGATAAGTTTCTGGAATGAAGAGGGGGAATTTTTCATTCTAAAGGGGGGAACTGTGTATTGAAATACCCCGGGAAATTTAGAAGGCAAGATTTCCTTCCCCCTATCCGTCAAAGGTACCTGATAGTAACCTTTAAAGACTAACTTGGAACAAAATAGCCTTACCCACAAACAATTAGTCATCCAACGGGGAAAGAGGGAAACATCGTAATTGTGACCCTCATTCACCTTACTTAGCTGTCACATACAACCCTCCATCGGCCTTTTTTTAACAAGGATGCACGGTGAAGCCCATGGACTGATGACCCCTCCACTAAACCATCTTTAACAAAATTCTATTTCCGCGAATCCTCTGCTTTCAGGTTTAGGTCTGAGGGGGAGATTTAATAGGTTAGATTTTCCCCCACACAATCTTGAAAACCTAACGACATCTTTTCGGCACATCCGAAAAATATAAGGATATGGCTGTAGGGGTCATTTTAAACTTGTTGCATGCTTTTTCAATAGCCCACTCCTTTAAGGGGCAGATCCTGAGGACAATTAAAAGTTTAACATTAATTTCAAGAGGGGCAAAGAATCAAAGTCTCCCAGGGAAGGGGGCAGAGTCTTACTGGGACTATCTGGTTAAAATGAAAAATTTTTTTGATTAATGTGGTAATTTTAGTTTTTGAGGTCTTATAATGGGACAAACCAAAAATTTTACATCAGATAATCACTTACAATCTGCATAGGCCCGTAAACACTTCAAGGTTGGGGCCCGGGTATAGGTTCCTGCACCAACACCTTGCTCCTGGAGGGAAGGGACGGAATTGTGCACTTCTTCATACCCGTTCATTTTATTTTGGCCGTCTTTGGGTTAGCCTGGCTAACTGACTGCCACCTTAAACCCTTGAAGACGGGTTGTAGAGTGTTGAGCTAACGTCTTCCCCATAAACCTTCTTTAGCACGCAAGAGGACCTCGTACTTTGTCCCAAAAAGATCAGCTCAACGGACTAACCCGTAGACTTTTGCACCGTCTCTCGACTGGAACAGCAAAAAGGCACATTCTCCCAGTCTGTAGGAAAATGTAGCAAAAAGTTCTCATCATTTTTTTTTAAACGTCTGATGGAATCTTTCCAAGACCCGGGGACTGAGGATATAACAATTTGGGGATTATCCCAGCCTATTAATGTTCCCCTAAATTTTTGGGCATGAAGTAGTACCTTGATCATTGAAAGTTTTAGGAATGCCAAAAAGAAATAACTTTTTTAAAGCTTTGAGAATAGCTTTAGTTTTAAAAATTACGCATGGGAATTGCTTCAGGAAACTGGTTACTTTATCCAAATTTTAAATACTGATTTACAGATTTTGATTTGGGGATGACCTACACAATCTAAATTAAATCCAAAAGGTTCCCACAGCAGTAAGGTTGGAGAGGTGCATTTTAAAGGGAAAATGTCCAGTTTCCCTATTGCTGACTTCCGGCAACACCAAAGATTTTTCCATTTAAAATTTTGGCCAAAAAAATTCTCTGTGATTCAAACAAATTTTAGAAATTTTCCTAAGTGACCTCCTAATAAGAATTAAGCTATATTTAATATTTGAGGTAAATTTTGTTGGAACCCAACCTTTCAAACAATTGCCGGCCCCTATCTCCTTACCAGTCTCAGTGCAATCAAATAATCGTTTTAAGTTCATACTTGACCGATTCCAAAAGGTTTCCCCAGGGGCTGCCTGAAAACGTTTTTAAAGAAGGGTCCTTTCGTTGTTCCCCCCGGGAAAGGGACAGTCCCCTGGCGGGAAAAACGTCTGGTAATCCGCAACCTGGGAATATAATTTTAACGGGGTCTTTCCTTTACGGGGCTTTGGCCAGCTTTCTTCGTAAAACAAAGTGGCTTTTCCGAGTTTCGATCGCCAAGGATAGGTAAACATTCCACCAAAAACCCCCTTGGGGATGTTCCCGATTATGGCCAACCCCGGGAGAAAATTAATCATTATAGGTTCAGGACACCACTAACATAGTAATTTTATTACCCATAATAACAGGGCATCTTTCGGGGGAATCTTTTTTGAGGCACCCACAGCAAGTACCCAGGTAATTTTTCACTGTACAAATTTTTTTATGCAAAGGACAGAAAAATAGCTCCTCCAAATGCTTCAATAAAACGAGGAATTAAAGGAATTTTCTTTGAAAGGGGAAATTTTTCCTTCTCTTATAAGTACAATATCTCCATACCAAAAGGGTTTTTTTTTACTTCAGTTTTTGAGTTTTCTTGAAGAGAAATAAGACTCTTGCAAAAAAAGGGGGGCCAACCTTTTTCTACTTCTCTCGGGCAGTTAAAGGGAAAATTAAATTTTCCCCAATGGGTTGGGGTTTATGGGGGGGAGTTGGATGGATATGACCTACTTTGTTACGAGGGAAACAACACGGCTTGCCCTTTACTCCCCGGACTTGCAACTGGTGCGCTCTGGCTGGTGCCTCGAAATTTTTGTCAGAGCGACAGGCTTGCCCCACCCCCCCTTTCTAGCGTTTCAATTGTGCGCAAGGGTGTCTTCCGGAACTGTTGTCGAGAGCACCATGGGTAGTTCGTCTCTCACAGGGGGACCAAAAGTTAGAAGCGCCTCGCCAGTGACTTTGTTGGCTGACTAGACGTTCTCCCCCGGCTGCACTTCATTCTCCAAGGTTACGATCTCTGCTCTGCCCGGGGTTAAAAGGGAGACGGGACCCCCCGGGGCAAGGGGCGGTTAGTTTTTGAAGGGACAGCTAACCTGGGGCCTCCAAGCAGAAAGTCAGATCCTGCAGAAAGACTCGAACCCCTGGGCCCACAGACCCCCCAGGTTTTCAATCAGAATAATGTACCAGCTCCCCAAAGGGGGTGACCCACTTGCTTTTTTCCAGCGGTAAAAGCTTTGGTTTTCTGTCTTTCAAAAACCACCAGGGTGGCCAGCTGCCGCCTGCTTGTTTTAAAAGCTTACGGGACTTAGCTGGGATCATTACGCTCCCAACACGTGGCTTTACTCTTTATAAACAAAAATTTAGCGTCATTTTAAACTGACGTAAATTCCTGTGCCTTACCAAACAATGCTGTATAACCAACAGGCCCAAGCTGTTCCGGCCACCTCAAGGCTCGGCCTGATTATCGAAGCTTTTTGAAAAATTTTCTGGTTTGGGGCCCAAAAAGCGGGGTACAAGCTTACGCTTTCTGTAAACTAAAATCATTACAGAATGCGAAAACGCCTCCTTTCTTTCCCTATCAAATTCTTCCCCTTTCGAATGCCTCTGTTCCCTAGTTTGTCAAGATTGATTTTTGCCACTCAATGCCAACGACGCGAATTTCCCTTTAGACAACCCAGCTGCACTATACTGACCATTTTTGCCCTAGTGTACATCTTTCCCCCGGGAGAAAAATAGTATTTTTGCCCTAGCTCCCTAGAGGGGAGTCCCGATGTCCATCTTTTTTCTACAAAATTTGTCAGCAATCATGAACCAGTTGCGCAGCTGCGAGAGTCGTTTTTTATTTAAGCCAATGGAACGGGAATTTGCCAAAAACGCTGTAGGACAATTTAGGTAGGGTTATGCAAAGTTATGCCCCCACCAACTCCTCCCTATGTGGGATAATTATTTGTATGCACAGTACAGGGAGAAACCCCAAAGTAACACGTTTTAAATTTCGAACACCCCTTTGCTACACAGTACGATTGCAATACACATACAAGGGGGATACCAATTTGCAATTGACTGCAGCTACACCAAAATTTGTAAAGCAATGCCAAACACAACTACACCTTTTCTACAAGATTGACCGTAGCGAAACGAGCAACCGAAAAACAGAACGAGCTTTGAACGATCACACAATACAAGGCCCAAATGACACGCAAAATTTTTAAACGTTGGCAAAGCTAATGCAATGCCGACAGCAAGCGACAAATTTTTCCCGCACGAGCTTCACCGACTCAAAAACCTTTTCCTAAGTCCACTCCAGCTCTCGACAGGCTACCCTATTACAACCCAGGAATCCAAATGGCCTGCTATCCTGGGTGTAAAGGGAAAAATAAACACAAAAAAGTTTTTGATTATATTATCCACACCAATTTAGAACACAATATTACACTATTACAGGAAAGTATTGTGCACTCCACGGTAAGCAAAGCAAAATAGAAACCACAAGAGAGAGACCGTGCTTCAACCCTCTAGAATGGGGAAAGACAAGGGCAACAGGGGAAATGGTACCCCCATAACCTCTCGATTGCCAAAAACCCTCTTCTTAATTTTGGGTGGAACCTGGGCACATTTGAACAAGGGCCCCCCTCAACAACTCCACAACCTGGTTCCTTTTTGGGGGAATACCAAAAAGAGGGGTGTACACGCCATAAAGTTTTTTCATACCTTTGCATGCCCAAGAGGGTTTCGAAATATAGTGCAAAAAAAATTTTTAGTGTTGACTAAAGCTCCTGGGCTTCTTGAAGGTGTTGACTTCCCGGCTTTTGGACCCCTAGAAATTTTGAGGAAGCTGCTGCTCCTCTGTCTCCTGGGGCTTTAAGTTACAGCTTCCAAGACTCACGAAATCGTAATAACAGGAACTGCAAACAAACTACGGTACGGGTTGGATTCGAACTCACGGCAAGCGAGTCGTAAAACTCCAGGCCAGAGCGTATACTTAGTTGGATAAATCTTATTGTAGCCAGCTGTCCCAGTGGCTTACGCATTGGCCTGGAGTTTTACGACTCACTTGCCGTGAGTTCGATCTCCATTCGTACCGTGGTTTATTTACAGCTTCCCTGCTGGGGGTTGAGTGACTCAGGGTATTACCGCATTTTCAGGCATATAATATCAGATAGGTATTAGTAATCATGTTCAAGGGTTGTCATGTGCGAGGTTCAAAACGTGGACTGGGTAAGGACACGTAGGCTGGTTAGTACGTTTATTGGAGGGTAAATATGGGGAGCACCACGCCTGGCCTGCCTCTCTGCTAACTCTCTCGAGGACTGACTCACGAATTGGGTCCTAGGGGAGAGCGGCATTCAAAAACATGCTATGGTCAGCATCAACAAGAATAACAGTCAGTGATTCACGCAGACAGTTGGTAGTGAGTCATACTACTGGTAACTGGTTACTGGTAACTGGTACTACTGGGAACTGATACTACTGAGAGCTCGGCGACGCTAACGTATGTCGTCCCGACAAACAGCTAACACAAACTACAGACGGCAGGCATACGGCTTGGGCTGATTCTATACAATATCAAAGTAGGTAATTTTTCCATGACTTTTTCGTGGGAAAAAGCGGGCCTTAAATGCCGGAAAATACGGTACCTTCCTGAGATCGCGCAGTAACTCAAGCACATCTAGTTCGCAAGAAAGTTGGGCTCGCAACCGAACGGATCCAAGTTTGATTCACGGGCTGGACGAGGAATAGAGCATGTCTCCTGACGCCTGCCATCCTTGTTCACCAAACAGATAATAGGTACTTGGATTTTAGCAGACTGTTGATGGTAGCAACCTTGAGATTGTGCAAGAAAGGTATAAAATACTGACAATATGAAAGTTAAGACACATGTGCAACATCTGGATATCTTTATTGTAGACGTTTCGCCATCCAGTGGCTTTATCAATACAGATTCTAGGACATAATAGGAAGACAGTAGAACTATATACAAAAGATGAGGTAATCAGTCCCTCGGCCTTGGAGTTAGTGTTCACAAGGCCGAGGGACTGATTACCTCATCTTTTGTATATAGTTCTACTGTCTTCCTATTATGTCCTAGAATCTGTATTGATAAAGCCACTGGATGGCGAAACGTCTACAATAAAGATATCCCGATGTTGCACATGTGTCTTAACTTTCAACCTTGAGATTGTTGATGGTAGCAACCTTGAGATTGGTAGCGTAATGAGTTGTGGCAGGACAACAGCTTTTAGCCTGTAATACAATGTTAAATTTTGTTCAAAGCATTAAAAAAAAATCCTTAGCTGTAACCTCGACGGCATTTAGAAATTTATATTTAATATGCAAAAAAATATATATCGGATTAATAAACAAATGTGAGCAGCGCTAAAATAGTTATCATCTATTTCTTTTGCAGTGGCAGTTGGCTGAGTATCTAGGTGTGTCTCCGATGCAGTGGATATAATCTCTGTTGTACATGATATAAGACACGTGCAACACCTGGACATCTTTATTATGAAGATGGTTCACCAATAAGTGTATTTTTCAATTCAGTACAATGCTTATATATCGGAGACAGAAGACGTGGTGATCAGTCCATCAGACTTGACAGAACGTGTTCAGTTCAAGAGTTTGATCAATCTGAAGTTGTAAACAGACAGCAGTAAGATGCCACGAACACTTGGGATATGCTCACTGATGTTTAAGAAAATGATTAATAAAATAAATATTGAAGGAGATAATTATAGTTTTATTTTGCTCCTGGCACTGATCATAGATTATTAGAGTCATTCACCAGTCGATTAGCACACCCAACAATATTTACAGTTAATACAAACATATTAAACAGGATATTATACCTAGATGATATATATACCAAGAGGTATATATCTCTCAGTGTATGTACACTGAGAATTTACTTAATTCGTATTTTAGATATTAAAGTAGTCTTGAATGGTGGAGAACAGGTGACATGCACCTTCAACGACCCTCGTGTAGCCGAGAAGCTTTAAACTCTTTAAACCATTAACCAGGATGTTATATTAGAGATATAGAGGCATTAATACTGCCAGATACACTAGTTCTGCTCAGCAGCCTGCAATGTGGGCAACATGGTCAGCGATCAGCCTGCTGCATGGGCAACATGGTCAGCGATCAGCCTGCTGCGAGGACAACATGGTCAGTGATCAGCCTGCTGCGAGGACAACATGGTCACCGATCAGCCTGCTGCGAGGGCAACATGGTCACCGATCAGCCTGCTGCGAGGGCAACATGGTCAGCGATCAGCCTGCTGCGAGGGCAACATGGTCAGCGATCAGCCTGCTGCGAGGGCAACATGGTCAGCGATCAGCCTGGTGCGAGGGCAACATGGTCAGCGATCAGCCTGGTGCGAGGGCAACATGGTCAGCGATCAGCCTGCTGCAGGGCACATGGTCAGCGATCAGCCTTCGCGAGGGCAACATGGTCAGCGATCAGCC